AATATTTGGACTCTATCTAGGTGGAAATATATTTATTTAGTGCACAACCTGGCACAAACACACATGTGTATGCACACACAAAACACCATGTATGTTTGTCTGTGTATCTGTATGCTATATGGTGTTCTGATAAACAGTACAGATAGATAGATGCCTTTGAGGAACTCAGGGAATCTGGAAGCTTTGGCCTGTGGTGACTGGCCACAGCATAAATTGAAGCAGTGTGCTGAGCTGAGAAAAATTCAGAAGGGATTACAGAGAATAATGCAGAAGAATAAACCTAGTGATTTCAACACAGCTAGAGGGCATCATTCAGATTCCTGAGACTGAGATTGGATGGGGTGGAGCTCTTCTTCCCTGAGAAACAGAATGAATGCCTCTTTCCCTTCTAATGCCATCACTCAGATCTGAAAGCTACTGTTCCAGGAAGAAGCTTCTCCCCAAAACTTTGTACAGGTCCTTATTTTCCAGAAGACATAAAAAGGATCTTGAAAAAAAAAACATGCTATATCCATTAACCACTCCATAAAATCTTTAGATCTGGGACTTACTAAATATACTTACTTTACTTACTTTATATACACTTACTGTATATAACCATAACCAAAGGGTGAGTATTAGGAAGGGGGGTTAAATATGTGAAAAAGGCTGTTTACTATATACCTACTCAGAGTTGCCAATGAAAACTCACTTCCTGAACATTAGAGCAGTATTCTGCTATAAAAATATAATCCAAATGACAAATGCAAGCCAAAAGATGCAATTTTCCATGCCCTACAATCCAGTTTTAAAAGAACAAAAGGTAAAAATTTCTTTTATTTAATTCAATATACCCAAAGGATAATTTCAACATGTAATCAATCTCAAAATTATTTAAGTCTGGGGCTATAGCTCAGTAACAGAACATTTAGCTAGCATCCATAAAGTCCTCGGTTTAATCTTTAATTCCAAAATAAATCTGAGATAATTACAATCCTTTTTGTTGACTTTTAAAAAATGATTCATTTATTTTATTTCACGTGTATGGGTATTTTGCCTGCATGCTCATATATGTGCACCACATGCATGTCTGGTAATCCCTTGGAACTGGCATTACAGTCAGTTGTGAGTTGTCATGTGAGTGCTGGGAATTGAACCCAGGTCCTTTAGAAGAACACCCATTACTCTTACTTAACCACTGAGCCATTTCTCCAGCCCCCTTAGTATTTTGTTAATCTTTGAACACTGGAGCTCAAGTCACAGTTACACACTGATTTGGATGGTGCTGGAGATTGAACATAGTATATGCTAAACTCTACCATTCAGCTACAGACTGAAATCTCAGGCTGATTTTTTATTAAAAAGGAATCTTTCACTTTTAAAACTTCACATAGTTTTAAGACCAAAAAACTGAAGGGTTTTTTTTGGGGGGGGGGCGGGGATGGGTTTCAAAACAGGGTTTCTCTGTGTAGCCCTGGCTATTCAGCCCTCTGAAGAACAGGCTGGCCTCCAACTCAGAGATCCTCCTGCCTCTGCCTCCCAAGTCTTGGGAATAAAGGTGTACACCACCACTGTCCACTATTATTCTATTTTTTAAGGGAGAGGAATTTAATTACTATAAAAGAAACTTAACACAGAACAGATTAAATAAATCTTTTGATTTTAGTCTCAGAAATGAGCTGCTTGGAGTTACAATACAAAAAAAAAAAGTAGTGATTAGCCATTTCTAAGCCTGATCTGAGCAACTAAGTGGTTTTCTAAGTTTTCTTCTGAGATTACAATATTTTCCTATAATTGTTCCTGAAAAACCATGATGTTAAAATGTAAATGTGTTAATAGGAAACAAGGAGTATAGAGAAACTAAGTAAACAACAACACAAGGAAATAATCAGATATCTCTAGACTACATCCAGCATGTAAGAACACCAAGACAACAAATGAATGAGCAGTCTGGTCTTTCTCAAAAAAAAAAAAAAAAAAAAAAAAAGGTGGCTGCTGTGGATTAAGACAGCTTAAATATACAAGATGGCCAAAAGCAATGCATAAACACTGGATTTTGGAGGCCAACTCTAAAAACTTCAATATGCATTAGCAATTTGATGATAGGCCTTAGTGTAATTGCCCCTAAGGTAAAAATAGGACTGTATTTAGATAAGAAAAGTCCTTACTTATAGGAGAAATACAGTAAATATTTAAGAGTGAGGTATTTGTTTTTACAACTTATTTTCTAAGGCTAGAAAATATAGTAAATGTAATAGTAGCAGTTTTTTAATCTAGGCAATGGCTGTACACTACACAGGTATTCAGTACACTATTCATTCAACTTTTCATTTTTGAACATCCTTATAACAAACAAGGAAAAGGAGAAACAATTCAAAATTAAAACAGACAACGAAATGTACTATACAAACCTTCATTAAATTTTAGTTCATGAAAAGCAACTAAAAAAGACACCTTTGAAATGACAGAAAATGGCCTGGATGTTACATGATATTAAAGAAATATTGTTAATTCTCTTGAATATGACAATACTATTTTGGTTATGTAGGATGATATCTTTAATCTTGGGAAATGATAGCTGAAGCTTTTAGGGATGATAGTCACAATGACTACAATGTTCTTTGAACCAATTCTGGAAGGAAGAAAGGACACATAATAAAGACTACACAATCTCTACCTATCTAGCAAACATGCTAACAACTATTAACTTACACGGTATGTTTGTTTTGGAATGATAATTCTATTCCTTCAGCTTTTCTGTATGTTTACCTAAGTCTGTAACAGAAAGTTTAAAACACGTAAAAGCTAAAATAAGATCATATTAACATTCTCTGCCAGATGTGACATATAATCTCTGCAGTTGATAAGACTGAGGCAGGAAGATCCCCTGAGTATGAGGCCAGACTGGGCTCTAGAATATGTTTAAGTCCAGCCTGGGACAGAGTAAAAGCCTTATTTGAAAAAAGAAAATGGCCTTGTTTGGGACCTGCAATGCTTTGAATACAAGAAAAATATATGGATACTATTTTAAAAAGCTTGAAATATAAGATATGTGATGTCTAAAACCTTTGAGACAGAGTCTCTCCGTATAGCCTTAGCTACACAGTTTCAGGAACTTGCTGTGTAGATCAGGCTGGCCTCTGCCTAAGTGCTGGGATCAAAGGCATATACCACTTTATCTAAAATATTTATTTGCCAACAAAATTTTCCATATCAATTTAGTTTCTAAAGTTGTATTTCTAAAGACCTGTAATCTGCATAACTGAAGTGCATCTCAACACTTAAAAAGCCACAAATTGGTTTGTTAAACTTAAATCTCACACACTATTAAGGCAAGCTTACTCAAGTAGAAGTGAAAGATTTTATAATTACAAAACAATGAAAATATTTCTCCTCAATGGGGTCTTAAATTTTCCTAAGAAAGTAATTCCAGAAGGAAGCTTTAACATTTTTATAATGATAAAACCAAATGCCTAGTGAATGGTGATAACCACTGTTATGTTGTAGGTGCAAAAGGAAGTCAGCAAGTTCAACTGTTAAACAACTACCCAATAGCATTATCTTTTAGCCACTATAACAACTGCCTATCTTAAACACTGATAACTGAAGTATAGACTAGCCTAGCAGCGCCACATTTATAAATTAACTATCAGTTAACGATTATATTGTCCCACAAGAGACGTTTCACTTTGTATTTTACAAATACTTTCTACTTCTATCTAAATTGAAACTGGGGGACACGGGGACCTGTTTTAGTGGTGAGAAAGCATCTAGATTTAATGCATAAAGACAAAACATGAATCCCCAGGGAAAGACAGCAATAAAAACAATAGTAAAGGTAGAAAAATCAAAACCTAAGCAGCAAATGGTTTACATAGTTGATGTGGGGATCATTCCTACTGAACAAAAACAAGTAAATTTTTTTAGTTTTAATTATTTGTTATACTAATAAATTCAGAGAATAAAGATAAAATTCCATAAAAGTGAGTTTTCAATTAAAGATGATAATGACATTTCATAGCAGTCCAGAAGGAAAAAAAAAAACATGCCAGGCTGGTGAGTGTTATTTAAAGGCACAAATTTGTTTATTTTTAAAATGGCATAATCAAACTTTTTTTCCACAAGATCTGGTAACTAAAGCTGAGTGCTTTAGCATGAAGGGTATTTATCAACCAAGTTTTGTGTGCTTTCTAGAAAGAAGGAAAGATGCAAGAAATAAACAGAGTCCCAAAGGTAACCATGTGATTAGAAACCAATTAAGTTAAGCAATTACTGAAGCTCCTCTCTCTCCTTTGGGCAAGAATGGCTCACAAGTAAGACTCTGATAAAGAAATGAAGATGCTTTTATGCAAAAAGGCCAAGGTTGTTTTTTTAAAAAGTATTTTTAAAAAAGATTTATATGGTAGAATGTACACAGAAATGCTTTAAGGGTGTACATAGAAGATTTATGGTCTAATAGTTTGGAAATATCAAAATGTTTTAGACATACAACTTGTTTTCCTGGTTAACCTTAGTATTCACACTAAAATGGGGAACAGAGATAGGCAAGAGTATGGAAGACTATCACTCTGTGGCCTACTGGTTATCAAGAGCATTGTATGTGCCCTTACTGCATTTTAAATAAGAAAATGCATTTAATGTATATGCACCATGTAGAACTATAAAAATCCTCAATGCCAATTCTAGCATGGATTACTTAACTTTTAAAAATAATCTAGCCCACTTTACATTAAGAAGAGCTAAAGTAAATTTGTAATACTTGTATCACATTATAATCTAACCTTAAAGGTACTTGAAAAGTTGAACTATTCTACTACCTACCTGGTTTATCCTTCACCCACAAAATGTACTTTTAAAATTCCTGAATGCATAAGATATAACAAAATCAGCATTTTATATATAAAATATTCTTATAAACTCCTCCTTTTTTGACTCCTGACCAACTCTGGGAATCTTATCTATAAAGACATCTGCTTTAACTAAATTGAGGAGTCCTGTCTACTGCTTTCAAATGCACCAACCTTCTCAAAAACGCTGGATGGAGTCATCAGACAAAACCTGATGTTCTGAATGATGGTATCTGTGTGTCTCCATCGTCGTCTATCATGTCGCAGCCAAGACTGCACAGCCTCGTACAGCTCTATTTCTGGAAACCTGCTCAGATGATCATTATCCAAATAAGACATGAGCTTCTCGAAGCTCAGATATGACAGGAAGTCAGGTCTGGACATGAGTGGCACGAAGTTGTCTAGCAGAAAGGCATCCAGCTTCTCCCTGACTCCCTCGATGTTAACACCGAAATCATCTAACAGTCTCATAATTTCCGCACAATTTTCTAAGCAGATTTTGGCTAAGAGAAAAGAGCAGCAGAATTTCACCACTTCTATAAGCTGAACATACATTGCTGCCTGAAGGATTTCATGAACAGTATTCATACTTAGTTCTATAGTTCCATAATACATAAACTGAAGAACGTGGCTGAAACCAGTAGCTGTTAGACCTTTCAAATGAATTTTGTCCTGATCTCGTTCCCTCATGTCTGCTGTGAACATAATTCTGAAGTAATCACTCTGGGTGGCCAAGAGGGCTTTATGGGCCTGGAACTGATGGTCTTCAATAACCAGAGTCACATCGAGAAGCAGTCCCTCCTCATACAGTGCTCTGAATCCAGCAGAGACACTGGTGTCATGGATGGAGGAACAGAATCCTTCCACGTCCCCTGCCATGAATCACCTGAAAAAAAGTAATTAAAGAAAATGGTATTAATCATGACCATAGATTGAGAAGGTACTATTAAGAATTATAACAGTTTTTATAATATATTAGGTCAACTAGCAAAGTCCTAAGTATATAAACCCTTAAAGAGAAGGCAATCTTCTATGATAGTTTCAAAGCTAATGTTTTCTGGCTTCCTACCTGGGAAAAAAGACTCTACTAAAGACAGATCTATTAAACAGTGCTGGTAACCTGTTAACTTATAAACAATACCCACCTATCTGACTTTATATAATTCATCAAATATATTCATGTTTCAAAATTAGGAATTACAAAAGATTTCATATGCAAACATTTAGTTAAGGAAAAGCCAATAAATAGAAGAAAAAAAACAAAAATGCCTAGAAATTCATCCCAAAGAAAATAACTGGATAAACATGCCAAGTTGTACAGATAAAATTCTTCTTCCTAGCATTATGTATAATAGACCATTATAAAGTATCTGACACAGCAGCATGCATCTGCAGTTCCAATAGGAGAGGCTGAAAGAGAAAAATCACTTGAATCCAGAGTTCCAGGCTAGCCTAGGAATGATGAAGGAGGGAGAAAAGAAAAAACGGAGATGGTTGGAGAATGGAGGGAAAGTGATAAACAAAGCTTGCTGAGAATTCAAAGTCAGCCTGAGTTACACAGCAAGTTCCAGACAAGTTCCTGTCTTGGGCTACATAGACAGACCTTCCCTGTCCACAAAAAATATTCAAAAGTTTTAATACTTATGGGGCATGTGGAACATACCTATAATCCAAGCACTCAAGAAGCAGAGGCAAGAGGATTGCAGTAAGTTGCAGGCAAACCAGGATTATATAACAAGACACTCTAAAACAAAAAGGTTTGACAACAGATTATTAAATACATATGGTATACCCTAATGGTAGATTAGTATACAGATAAGAGTGGTGATAGCAATCTGGCTAGCCTAACAAAGGATGTTTATTAGATGTCACCACAATATACTGAATATACCTTCAAAAATAAAATAAATATTTGTTCAGACGAGAAAAAGTCTGGAAGAACAGATACCAAAATGATGAACCTAGGTAGTGAGTTTTAAGAACACTTCTTCTCTTTTATACTTACCTGATTAACCTCATTTTTAAGAAACAGATGAATACTTTTTTATATTTACAGTATGTAATTTTAAAGGAAAGTAAAAAAAATTATTCTACATAGTTAAGAAATGAAACTAAGACCATACAATTAAAATTAGATCTAAGAGGCTGGGCATGGAGGTATATCTTTAATTCCAACACTAAATGAGGTAGAGGCAATTGTACCTCTCTGAGTTCAAGGCCAGCTTTACCTACATAGCAAGTTCCAGGCTAGCCAGAGCTTCTCAATGAGACCTTATCTCAAACAACAACAAAACAGATCTACAGCTCAGAAAAAGAATGTGTATTTCGTTTGCAGGCCCTGGATTCAATTCCAAGTATCACAAAAATATAAATAAGAAAAATAAATTAGGTCCAAATAAGGCAAACATAAACTAACTTAGTCTAGTCTATTTATGAATTGAAGTAATTTCTTTTTCCCACTAGCACTGACCTCAGGCCATCGTCCATCTTGCTCTTTCTTTGCATCATCAAACAGCTCGTAGCTTCTTCTCTAATGATTTCTCCATTCTTGAATGCCCTCACAACTCCTTCCTATGTGTCCTGTGGAACCTTCCTTTACTATATACAAATTTCATTACATGTATATGTTGGTCCAAATATATGTATGTGTAGGTTCTCCAATCTCATTTAAACATTTTTTTCCTCAAATTCCCACCTTCCAGACATCCTGCTTTTATTCCTACCTTCAGTACTCTTAGAAAAAAATACTCTTTTAAACCATACAGATATTTCTAATCCTTTTCTTAACTTTTGACCATCCATTTCCTAAATAAAACTTAGGCCTTTTAATAAGATAAAAATCCATCTTCTGGGGCTAGAGAGATGGCTCGGCAGTTAAGGGCACTGATTGCTCTTCCAGAGGTCCTGAGTCAATTCCCAGCAACCACATGGTGTGGTGGCTCACAACCATTTGTAACAGGATCTGATGCCCTCTTCTGGTGCGTCTGAAGACAGCTATAGTATACTTATATACATAAAATAAATAAACCTTTTTTTTAAATCCATCTTCTGTTGTCCCTTGTTACACATTTCTTGATCAATGGCTCTCCCATCTGACTGGCACCTGGCTGAGTTATATATACCTATTCATCATTCACAAAAGACAACACACACAAAAACTGAGTCACAGCCGCTATCTCTCAACTCCTATATACTGTCCTTATTCCACTGCAAATCTTTAAGACCTGCCTTCATCCAGAACTAGTCTACATCTGAAACCTCAACTATCAACTTCCTAATAAACACTGCTCCTTCTAAAGAAAGAAACTCACCATATAGTGCAAACTAGTCGAAGACTCACAGGCCTCCTGCCTCCCAAATGCTAGGATCATAAGCCTCTACCACCATAGCTAGTAACCTTCCTCCTCTTTCTTCACGTCTTAGTATATCTTAACTCATATCAGATCAACAACCCCTGGCAGGGCCTCCATTTCCCTCGCCTCTTTGCCTTTTTGCCTATCCTACATACCTTCTAACTAAACAAAAACCATGTTGATCTGTCTTTCACTCTTGAGGTAGACCTTCAGTGTCTGTGGACAGTAAACAACTGTAAGACCATTCCCTATTGGTGAGTACTGATGCACAATCAAAGAGATGTTACCAAACTAAGATTAACTGATAAGGACAAATCTCTGGAATATCATAACCATTGAAGGAGAGGTGGTTTTCAGACAGGATTTCAGAGTCTCACTCTGCTACAGTCCAGGCCTTGAACTCACAGCATCTTCCTGTTTCAGACTCCCAAATCCTAGAAATACAAAAGTATATCACATGCCCCACAATACAGCCACTTTGAAAATAGTCTAAAATACCTCATGTTTTGGAATTGTATGTTTGAGCCCTCTGCTGAAACATTACCAGGCTTTGAAAAACACAATCAAAAGTCGACATCTGTGGCTACCCTACCAAGTGACAATGCTGGGACCTAATCTCAATTCTTTTTCCCTCTGGTTGGGTGTTTGGACCAAGAGCCTTTCCAACTAAGCAACTGGCGATACATCTGACTTCTGTCACCTACTCTACCTCCTCCTTCTAGAGGCAACACCTGTCAATCTCACTAGTCTATTACCATAGCTTCCCTGTTATTTACTGAAGGAAAAGCACCTGTGTGCCAGGTACTCCACTACATATGGATATATGTGCCAAGCAGGAATCTTCTCTGTACAATAGATGTGGTTAAGGAGGAAAAAGCAGCATTCAAGACACTAAGCCACCACTCCTCCACTCTCATGAGGATGTGATCACTAGATTTCCTACTGCTTCAATATGTTATCTATGACACTATCTTTTAACTTTTTAACCTATTTTAATCAGTGTTGAACCTGGCTTGAGTTGACATAACAAAAGAATGTTAGTAAGAAAAAAGTCTGAGCTGGGTGGAGTGGCATATACCTGCAATCTCAGTGTAGAAGGAGGAGGAATAGGAGTTCAAAGTCATCCTTGGATACAAAGCTAGGTCAAGACTAGCCTGACTCCTAAAAGAAAAAGTCTGAAAGCTGGAGAGATGGCTCAAAGATTAAGAGCACTGATTGCTCTTCTAGAGAACCCCAGTTCAATTCCCAGTACTCACATGGTAACTCCAGTTCCAGGGGATCTGGCACCCTAGCACAGACATACATGCAGGCAAAACATCTATGCACATAAAAATAGATCTTAAAAAATAGTCTGAAAGGGTACAAGACCAAAAATATTAAGAATGGTTTTCTTGGCATGGTGGCATGTCAGGCAGTTTCACTAACGGCTAATCTGTTTTGTAATAATATATCTACAATTAAAAGATATCACTGTTTTTACAAAAACCTGCTAACAAAAATCTTCAAAAGCCTGATTGCTTGGTCTCTCTTTTTTCTTGAACCCTTCTGCAGCATGATATAAGCCACTGGCTCATGGCTGTCAGCAGCATACATTATTCTGAATCTCTTCTTCATTCTCATCCATGGGTTCTACTCATTCTTCATTCTCACTCATGGGTTCACTTTTCTCAAACTAACCCCTGGAGCATTTGTCACCTGTAAATCAGTTTTTGCCCCCCTTCTCTCATCTAAACACTGTGTCCCTCTAAACAATTGTGTCTAAATCCATGGTTTCTAAGATCTACTTTCACAAATATCTTGACAGTCTTTCCATATTTCAATCCTTCCTCCATTCTGCCATATAATAAATCAATTGTGCAACAAACACTTCTGTACACTATATTTGGGACTTCAAAATCAATATACCTAAACAGAATCCTAATCCTATCTGCCCCTACTCAGTTTTTTCTTTTATAATTTTCATTTTATCAAGAGAGACATTCTAAGTACCCACTTCTCCCCATGTCTTTTTTTTGCCAAGGTCATACTCTATAGCCATAGTGGCCTATAACTTCTGTAACTCATTATGTAGTTCAAGCTAGCCTCACACTCAGAGCAATTCTCTTGCTTCAGTCTCCAAAGAGCTATGACTATAGTCATGGACTACTATACCCAATGCTATTAATCTTTTAACCCATCTTTAAGGCCTACTGAGCCTAACACATTAAATGTTCACTAATCAAAGATAGCACAGTTATTCACTAAATGAAATTAAGATCAAAATATTTATTTAGCATGTCATTAATTTAAAATTATACAATTTTAACCAGGTTTTTGTTTGGGGGCAGGGACTTACAATACAGCCCTGGCTGGCCTGTAACTCACTATGTAAATCATGCTGGTCGTGAACTCTGATTTACCTGCCTTTGCCTCCTAGCTGAACATGGCTACACAGTAAGACCTTGTCCAAAAAAAATAAAAATTAAAAAAAAGCAAAAATAATTTTTAAAAATATTTTTAAATCTTTTTTTTGAGACAGGGTCTCTATGTAGCC